ATTTAAATTAAGTAAGCATTTTTTTATTGTTTTAACAGGCTTCTGCTTGGAGATGAAAAGCTACGGGTTGTAATGAAATAAAACTGGAGCTTGACATCAGCATGTTAAAACCTTTCTACACATGACATCATCATTATTAATAGAGTGTAGATATTTCTAATATCTATTCTGTTTAGTACTGTGGGTTAGCACGCTTAACTTTAATTATAAATGGAGATTTTTTTAAATGTTTTTTTTTTCCAAGCATAAAATGAAATGACATAAAATAGTTTTTTTTTCAGGCTGTTGTTTAGAATTTACTTGAAATAAACATTATTAGATATTTTTATATTAACATTGTGTTATAACTATATCTCTGTTATCTTTATTTTAATTGGCTTATTTTAAAGTAATTATGTATTATTGAGTCATTATTATTAAATATGTTTTATTGAAGATTGATTGTTTGTTTGTTTATTATTCATTCAGAAGTGCTTTATTTCAGTTCAGTATCAAATATGATTATAGAGCCTGACAGGGTTTTTGGGGTTGATATTGGAGTAAAAAAATTATGATTTCTTTATATGCAAATTATAGAACAGTACCGGTAAAAACCTTTTCCCATTCGTTTTTCCAACTTTTGACTAGTACTATACAGTGCTCAGCATAGTTGAGTGCACCCATTTTAAAGATTTTTTTTTTTTATCCATTCACAGTGAATATAGACATTTGTATTTTGGTGTATTTAAACAAATCAGATTTATTAAACATATACATTTATTAAATGATATTTAAAAAAATATTACAACCTACGAAATTTCTAGAAATTCTTTTTTATATTTTTTGTTTCTCTTTCTTTTTTTATATTTTTTGTCTTCTCTTTTCTTTTTAAAATTTGTATTTAATATTTTTTTGTAATGTAAATTTGGGTTTACTAGTTATTGGACTGTTATCATAATTATTTTGTAAGATAAGCTCCAGATTTGGCTTCAGTACTGACTAATCTAATGTATATGCACAAATTTAATATTGTAAAGCTTCCTATTAAAAATATTAATTTAAAAGAGAGATTTGTGAGGGATGTACTTATATATGCTGAGCACTGTATATAGAATACAGTATACATAAAGATATTAGATATAATAGATAAGTACATTTTAGCAATTATTTTTTAATGTATAAACAATAAATATGTGATTAGTTGACTTTGCTTTAAAAAAAGTGAGAAAACCAGTTGTCTTAAAATTCAACTTACCATTTTCAGGCAAAGAGTTTACTCACTTTTTGTAAGTATTTTAATCACTTTATTTTTGTACCTTTATGTGAAAAAGCCCTTAACTATATGTTGCCTTCCATGTGCATGCAGTTCCTTGACAACTCTGTTGCTTTTTCTTCACACAATCAGAATATGAGGTTTATGACCTTAAATACCCTCGCCAAAATGTGTCTCGTGTCTCAAAGCCACTCAGCATGCTGCTTATGTTTGATATTCCTATTATAAACCAATCGTAATATTTATATTCTGTTTATATAATTTCTGTTGTGTCCTAATTATTTTTTTATTTTGTCATTATTTTTAAGTTAATTTAATTTTAAATATGGTGCATTCTATATTTAATTTTTTTTATTTTATCATTATTTTAATTAAAATTTTATGTTATTCTTTTTTTTCTAAACAAATGCAATAAAAATTGATTAGAGTATATTAATATTCAATTAATGTTATATGAAATTACATTGAAATATAAAGTGTGTTTATTTTTATACTGTCATCTTATTTATTTATTTATTTATTTATTTATATGTGTCATATATCATTTTTAATTATGTGTTGCATATGTTATTGTTTAATGTGTGAAATGTTTATTATTAACCTACATTATAAGCCAATGAAAATGTTAATAATTTTAATGATCTCCAGATCAACCTTGACTTATTTCAGAGGCTAGTTTTAATCTGGTCAAGTAATTTAAAAAATGTTTTTATTTCTAATAGAATTAATATGATAATCGGCCCACTGTGAAACAGATTAGCACGCAAACACTCAGGGTGAAGTGGTTTTAGGTTTGTTTTTATTGACATGCTGTTGACCATATCGACAAAACCACGTTCATGCTGTTAAACAGAAGAGTTAACGATATTTGTCAGACAGAGCCAAAGCCACTCTTGCCAGGAACTTGTCGATGGCCAGATGGACCTCAGCGGTGAAGTCATCAGGGAAGAGCATGGCGAACACCACCAGCAGACAGTGAGACAGGAGCTGCAAGCCAAAATTAACACACAATTTTAGGTACGACAGCTGCAACTGTTGGACTCAATTAGCAATAAACAACAAGTGGTTTGTAGTGTATACCTTGAAGTTAGCAGGGTCGACTCTCAGCTGAAAGGCGTGCAATTCACTGAGGTTCAGCAGGCCGTTGAAAAGGTCGTCGATTTTATCAACAGCCAGACCGAGTCCACCGACGATCTTCTTTCCCTGCTTCTTCACAGAGGGAGAGCCGGGGGCCAGATCGTTCCAGTGGGAGAAGTAGGTCTTGGTCTGAGGGTACACCAAAAGCAATCTGCAAAATAAAAAATATTAATATTAATATATTTTGAGGTTTACATTTGAGATTATAGGCTTACTTAAATCTGTAATGTGGCATTTGTATTATTTGAAAATCAATTATGTTCATTTTAATTACAAAAAAAGTGAAGACATTGCATTTTGTACCAAACAAATAGGCTACTTATATGTATTGTTATTGAGTCCATAGTTAAACTGTAGTTACAAAATTCCCAACTGTTGCTCTGCATGCCACTACACAGTAAAAAAATGCAGGTTTCCACACAATCCATCCATGTTATCCCAACCAAATTGATTAAATTAACAAATTTTGGTAGATTGAACATAAAACAATTAAGTTGTCCCAAACAATCTCAAGAATTGTGTTGTTTCAGCTCATTTTAATAAAGTGTTTTAAACAATGTAGCTAAATAATTGTTTTAGAAATAGCCTTGCAATTATGATTTTACTCACCTGGAAAACGCCTCGTTACCAATTTGCTCTCCCTTTGGGGCAATCTTGGCCCAGAAGCCCCTCACGGCGGCCTTGTCTTTAGCAGAAAGACTCATTTTGAATCGATGTCTGGGATGATCAGACTGGGCACCTACATGTTGCTCCTCTTTTTAAGCGTTTGTGGTTGAGCGGACACGCCCAAGATACGGCTTAATTGCGTCCCAGATTGAACTTCTGCCAGAGAACTTTGAAAACTGACATGATGCCCATTTTACCCACCTCGTTTTTGGGGTAGCATGATAAAAAAAGTGCCTGCGTGTTTGGGTCGCAAGCCAAAAAAAGAGATGGGGTCAGATCCCAATCAGATCACGTCAGCATCTTTAGTGCAAAGAAAACACAATCTTTATAAGTTAATTAGGTTTTTCAATTAATTTGATAAGTTTATGTAATGTAAAAAGTAATCTTATTTAATTTTACTCACTAGCAATTTAAGATTAAAATGTTTCTGCACCACGTTTAGTTTTAGTAATGGCCTTTTCAAAACAACATTCTTTTACTTTTAATTGATGTTTATCATCTTTAATTCTCGCAAAAACAGCACACAACAATAATGATAATCATACCATAGGCTACTAATAATAAAAAGAAAAGGATTATGATGATTTTTTTTCCATATAACAGTATTGTGATTAATATAATAGTAATCATTACAACAACAACAACAATAATAATAATAATAATAATAATAATAATAATAAATAAATAATTATACATTTGTTTTCCCACAATAAAATCAATCAATCAATCAATCAATCAATCAATCAATCAATCAATCAATCAATCAATCAATTAATAAACTATTCTAAATTGATTTGTAAATCATTTATTTATCGATAATTAATTCATCGATAAATGTCCAAACCCTTATTTAACGAGTCTGGATTCAATAATAATAATAATAATAATAATAATAATAATAATCATTATCATTATAATTATCATCATCATCATCATCATCATCATCATCATCATAATAATAATAATGAAATCCACAAAGCAACAATAATCATAATTAAGTATAATAAAAAAAACAATAACAATATTTATTATTATTATTTTTAAATTATTATTCTCATTATTGTTATATAACATTAATTTATCCCAGGTATATTAAGCATGCAACCTGTTATAATATTGCAACATTTGACAAAACAACAGCAAGTGTAATAAAAACATACATTACTGTGAAGTAAATAATAATTGTACTATTTTGAAAACGACTGCTTTTGACGAATCTGATCTTCTATTCGGAATTGATTTATAAATCGTGTGTTTCATTAATTGACTCTGATATAAATTATGTCTGGTTAATCGATAAAATGCCCACGCCCTTTTATTTGATGAGTCTGGATTTTAGGCAAATATGCATTTTACGTTGACATCAGCGTAAGTGGCGCATCTGTGAGTCAAGATAAGAGAGACAGAGGCGTTCAGAGACGCGCGTGCGTGCGCGAGATAACAACCGAGACGCAATATTTGGTCATTTATGAAAGTCATATTACTAACTGAGTTGACAAGGATTTAAAAAGATGAATCTAATATTCTATTGTTTTTTAAATATATCAATAGGTTACATTAGACTGTCCTTGCCATATTATGTGGATTTTCCTTTTATATCCATCACATTTTTTTCTATAAATGTAATAGGCTGAGAACTGCAGTGATGAAGGTCAGTGGACAAAAACTAGTGCTTGTGACCATAAAGCTTCAAAATTTTGCAAGTATAGCCTATGCAGGACTGCATCGTTTTATATTAGACTACCTATAACTTTCATTAAAAGTTGGGCGTAACTTTGACTAACTAGATTGAAGATTCTTAGAGTTCACCATCACTACTTCAGCGTCCTGCCCACCTGAATGTGCCAGCCAATCAAATGAGCGAACATGCACCGCCTTAGCAACTCGATGACATAAATACAATCGAGAGTTGTGCAAAGGTATGATTCTTGTTCTTGACAGAGAAGAAAATCATAAATCAACAACATGGTTGCGTGGACCGCCGAGGAACGTGCCTTCATCCAGGACATCTTCAGCAAACTCAACTATGAGGAGGCTGGACCCAAAGCACTGCAGAGGTATGTATTCCCAATATCATAATTTATATAGTAAAAATACATTAGGCCTATTATCATTTTAAATTATGCATTTGTTGTATTTTACAGGGCTTTGATTGTGTATCCCTGGACTCAGAGATACTTTGGAAGTTTTGGAAACCTGTACAATGCTGAGGCCATCATTAACAACCCAAAGGTCGCAGCCCACGGAACCGTCGTGCTCCACGGACTGGACAGAGCCATGAAGAACATGGATGACATCAAGAACACCTACGCCGAGCTGAGCGTGCTGCACTCCGAGAAACTGCACGTGGATCCTGACAACTTCAGGGTGAGCAAACATTACAGTACAGTAAACACAATTTTACATACCTGTTTGTCTGAGACTCACCTGTTCCGTTTGTTTTCCTCTGTTTCAGCTGCTGGCCGACTGCCTGACAATCGTGATTGCCTCCACCATGGGCGCCGCTTTCACAGCCGACATGCAGGCTGCCTGGCAGAAGTTCCTCGCTGTTGTTGTCTCTGCTCTGCAAAGACAGTATCATTAAGACCTCTCAGATGTGGTGGGGAAACATTGTATGTTTGCTCTCAAACGCAATAAAGAGAAATTGATACGCACCTGAGCCGTGTGTTTTCTGGATAGCCTAATAGAGGTGTTTGGAATTTAAAACGATGACACAAATTGTATTTGGCTACAGTACGTATAAATAATAATAATAATAATAATAATAATAATAATAATAATAATAATAATAATAATAATAATAATAATATAATATTATTATTGTTATTATTATTATTATTATTATTATTATTATTATTATTATGTACACGTACTACCTACACGTACACGTATGTATATCAATTGCAAAGACATGGAAATTGGCAGCACTTTATTTTAAAGTCTTGTTTAATAACTACTTATATTACCAAATGATTTTAATAATTATCGGGTAATATAAGTAGTTATGGAATATGGAAATAATCAAGAATTAAATATGATTTACAAGCATCAAAAAGATTAAAACATTTATAATAGCCTAGATAAATAAATAAATAAATAAATAAATAAATAAATAAATAAATAAATAAATAAATGCCAGTCATTTATTTTCTGGCAAACCATGGATCACAGAAGACTTCCCAATCACTCAGTGTTATAGCCTATATACAGTATACACAATAAAATTAAAAATCTTGACAGGAATATTTATTCAAGATTAATTTGATAACATTTAATGAACGATACCACTGCGACCACAAAAAATAATTATTACTTCTAATTTTTATTTTGCCAATGCTTTTTTTTTTGTTTATTTGCCAAATCTGACTTTTATTTATTTAAAATTTAGACTAATAAAAAAATAAAAGTTTGTATAATCATAAAAGGTAAACCCGCGTCATAATAACGTGCGTTTAAGACAGTATTTCTTTTATTACTGCGAATAGTGATGGAATATGTTTAGACATTTTAATTACAATTTCAGTGTACAAAAAATGCGTATTTTTTTGCGACAAAGAGCAAAATGTAAAAGAAGGAAATTAATCTGTGTTCTGCTGATCAGTAATATCACCAAAACAAGATGAAAAACGTCGGACATAGGGTTTGTTGGTTTTCTAAACTAAAATAAATTGCTTTGAGACGTGCCAAATAACCAAAAATTGTTCAATGACACAGCAATTTTCAAGTCGAAAATCAATCTTTGAAATCCATCCTATTTTCTGCTTGGTTTTCAATAGAAGGGGCCTAACGCCAACCAAAAACTAGCTTCCAGAACATGTTTTAAAAAAGTTTTAATAGAGACTTGAGAGGCTGGGGAGGAGCATCAGATGGGGAAAATTCAGGGAAATGGGCGTGCAAAAGAGGGGGGGAAAAGGGTAACTTCAGTTCATTTGCAGTCAAACATCGGCATCTTTATCTTAAGTAACTCAACAGCTGCAAACAGTAGCAAACGGAAAGAGTTTCACTGTCCGAATATTTGTCTTAATAGCCAAATATATTTAGATTTTTAATAAGAATAAGAATAATATTAGTAATAGTAAAAATAATAATCATCATCATAATCATCATAATATTTAGTCTAATAATTAGTCTATTTAAGATGCATTCAAAAATAACATCTTTGAGCGTTACTTTTTTCAAGTGTTTTTTTAAATTATTCTATTTATCAAGGCGACGGTTATTGAATGTAAAAATGTTCAATATTTATAAAAAAATTAAATAACTGCTTTCTTATTGTATGTAGTTTTCCAATGCAATTATCAGTCCAGTCGTTATTGCTTTAAATAATAATAATGTAAATAATAATAATAATAATAATAATAATAATAATAATAATAATAACAATAATAATAATACTAATAATACATATTAGACTGATTTTTGAAGGATCAAGTGATTCTGGAGACTGGAGTAATGAAACTGAAAATTAATCTTTAAAATCACTGTAATAAATTATTAAATTAAATTATAAACTACTTTTGAACAGTTATTTTACAGTGCAATAACATTCCCCAATTTTACAATTTGTACTGTATTTTTGATGAAACAAATACAGCCTTGGTGAGCAAGAAAAGCTTTTAAATTTTAAAAACATTTTAAAATCCTAATGACACACACACACACACACACACACACACACACACACACACACACACACACACACACACACACACACACACACACACACACACACACACACATTTAATCCATATATTTTTTCAATAGTCTACAGACCAAACATCGTTATACAATACCTTGCCTGATTACCCTAACCTATAGTTAACCTAATTAACCTAGGTAAGTGTTTGAATATCACTTTAAGCCGTATAAGTGTCTTGAAAAAATATAGTCAAATATTATTTACTGTCATCATGGCAAAGATAAAATAAATCAGTTATACACTGATAAAAAATTTTCTGCTTCATTTACTTAAAAAAAATAATGAATTTTTTTCATTAATAATTTATTTATTTATTTATATTTTTTTCATAATTTTTTGCATAGCTTTATTATGTAGATGAAACAATACTAGGCCTTTTAGAACTTAATTTTTATATCTGTCGAAATCAAATTTTCAAATAAACAAATTTTTCTATTTCTCTAACCATTATTTTGTGTGTTAAATCTACATAACCTAAAGAGTTAAAAACTTGCATTTTGTATTGAAACCAACATCTTTTTTTAAATTGTCTTTATTACAAATTTTAAATAGGTGTAGGCTAATCATACAAAATATTACATAAAGCTGACAAATTGTGTAAAGAAATGACAGTATATGTAAAAAATGACAGGTTTTATTTATGCAATTTTTTTCTTGTATAAACATTTTGACATTCCAATTTTTACTCCGTCAAAACATAAAATGATGCAATACAAAGGACTTCATATTAATGGTCCAGACAATTTTCTATACAATAATGATTGTGTTTATTAAACTGCAACCAAAACAGCATTGTAAAAGTAAAAAAAATCTTTAGAGAAAACTACTTTTTTTTTTTAAATTAGACTTTTTTTAAAAATGCATTTTACTAAACATATGCACTATATTACCTGGTAATGCTGTAAATAAAGTTACATTCAGACTGTGCAAAAAAAAAAAAAAAAAAAAAAGCAATCTCACTTCACAAGAACAGGGTCCACCCAAAAATAGAAATTCTGTCATTATTTTCTCACCCTTTAGCTGTTTTATTTATTTATTTATTTATTTATTTTACTGTGAAAGTCTATGGTTACAGGTTAATCTTACTTTTAAATATTATTATTTTTTTGTTCAACAGAAGAAAGAAACAAAGGTTTGTAACCACTTTAGGGAGAAAAACAGTAAATATATATATATATATTTTTAGTGAACTAACCCTTTAACTGACACACTAGTATGATCCAAATATAAAAATACCATTTCAAAAATGTGCTTTTGGTAAACCTGATGAATCTGAACAATACAGTTTAACTGAAATTACCCAACAAAATCTCGCTAGCATCAACAATGTCTGTATGGCTTTTAGGTCAATAAGCTGACCTTGAGATTGTGGACGTTGGGGAGCATGTTACTGTTCGTCGTCAAGCTTGAAGAAGCCCTTATGAAAGACCTCAAAGTTGTATTTGAGTTTCTTTGGATAGCTTAGTTCCAGTGCATAAATGCGGCCCATTAGGTACAGTAGGTGCAAGAATCGGCTCCAAAAAGTACATTTGCTCTCTCTATGGCTATATTTCAGCTTTCTTGTGACCTTCATCACTGGATTGGTTGTCCACAAAGATGTTGGAAACAAGTGAACTGGGGTGCTCTTGATTGGTTATAAAATTATAGTCATCTTAAACCTGTAAAACAAAACAAACAAAAAAATCCAGAAATAATTAAAAATCTCATGTATATTTGCTGATGTAAATAATGCACATTTGCTGTTCCTCTGAGCAGCCCCCTGCAAACGTTTACTCACCCTTGGCTTTTCTACTTTATGGTGGTTGTTTATGAGTCTCTTGTTTGTTCTGAACAGTTAAACTGACTGCTGGTCTTTAGAAAAAAAATCATCCATGTCCTGCAGATTCTTCAGTTTTCTTCATCTTCAGCAGATTTGAACCCTTTTTAGCAGTGACTGTAAGATTGTCAGATTCATCTTTTCACTCTGAGGATGATTAAGGGACATAAACATAACTGTTAAAAAGGTTTAAATGTTAACTGACGTTTCAGAAGGAATCACATGGAATTAAGAACCAGGGGGTGAAAACTTTTAAACAGGAGGAACATGTCATTTTTTTATTTTGTTGAAACATCATTTTGAAATGTCATATTTTACTTAAAAAAAACAGAAAATACTTGCATATTTCCTAAAAGGCAAATTGCAATTTACCTTAATATTTTGATTATAAATGTTTTTACCGCCCGGCTCTTAGTGCCTTGCATTTATTTCTGGAGCATCATGGAGCATCAAAAGCTACCTTTTTAATAGGTTTGTTTGAGTCCCTTGATCATTCTCAGAGTGAAAAGACTGAAAGACAAATCTCACAATCATACGATCACTGCTGGAAAGGGTTCAAATCTATAGAAGATGCTAAAAAAACTGAAGAATGTGCAGAACATGTAGAATTTAACTTTTCAGAGGAGTTTAACTTTTCAGTACAAACATAAGACTGATCCATCAAAAAGCAGAAAAGACACTAGTGGATCATCAGAAAACCCCAAACCATATTAAAAAAATAATGTAGGTAAACTTTTGCAGGGGGCTAATTTAATATTTTGAGCTAGGTTTTTGTATTTTGAACTATACTGTATGTAAACATCTCAAAACAGTATTAAACAGTATTAAATAAAAAAATAACATGCATTTTGTATGATCTCACTTGTTTAAAGTTTTCACATGAATATATATAAAAAATGTTCCTTTACCTGGTAGTCCTTTATCTTCGGGAGTCAATGCTGTTGTCCTAAAAATATATAATATGACATATTAAAATTGTCACCATTAACTTATCTTTTACCTCTCCAAATGTGAATTTAATGCACTGCAATCAGCTTATAAACAGTTAACACAATAAACCAATTTCTTGAACATTACATACCATTATCCAGTGCACTTGTCAAGTGAATCCCCTGTTGGGGAGAGTGTGTAATGATTATTAACTGACCAATGCACAAATCCAGGGCAATTAGTTTAACTAGTAAGTTTTTTAAATCGTTATCTAAAAATGTAGTGAAATAAAAACAAACATTTTTCTCAGCATTTTTTAAAGGAGAGAACAAAGATGCTGAAACTAGCACTGGGTATCTAAGGCACTTTTATTATTATACTTCAATTTGCTAGCCTGGCATGCATAATAACTAACATGATTTTTATCATTATCTTGCCTGTTAATAATGTTTGAAAATAGGGCTTAAGACCAAGGAGAGCTTCTCTGAAAAGCCCTTTACATGTAATTTAAGTTAAAGAACATAAAACCGTATCTTGACAGAATATTTTACAAACGTGAGAATGAATCAGTGTTTCTCCAAACATGTACATTTTTGTTCTAACAGATGCCATCAGTGCAGCTACGCAAGCAGAAATAAATTGAAGCATATAGTTGCATACAAATATTATGTAGGCCTACTCGTTTTTTTTCCATTGAAGATAAAATAATGATTAGTTATTTTGGACTCTTGACATAAATTAAGAAATTAATGTCACTGCAACATGCAACATAAACAGTCTGTTCAAATATTGAAGCTAGCTTCTTGTGTAAAGAGGTTAAACTGAAAGAATCTAAATACTAATCCTGTCCTAAAAATACAATCTAACATTATTTTACACTACATGCATTATTTCATAGTCAGATTTGCAAAAGTGTCAACTTAGAGTAAGAACAAATCCGCCATTTGCATTAGCACATGCAGCAATTAACTGCCACATACCAGCTTCCCGTTTATGTTAGGAAATCCATATAAAGCGCAGTTGTCACAGCACAGTAAATTTACAGTTTGTCTTTGTTTCTGTACAATGTCAAAACTGTTGTGAAACAAATGTTAATGAACCTATAACTAACTTTAAACACTTGATCCTTACCTTATTTCGCCCGCATGTTCTTCTTCTTTCAAATGGGGTTTCCCAGCCAAAGACGAAGGGAAATAGTTATTTTGTAAATTTAACAAGGTGTTATGTTATGTTGTCTACGTGTACAAAAAATGTTTGTCTGAGATTATTCAGAAAAACTGAGTAAAAAAAAAATTCAAAACGACATTTGTTCATGTAAAGCTACGAACTTAACATTTTTTGTTGATTTTACAAATTAAACTACATAGTATTTACAAACACTCAGAATCATTTTTATCACTGTAAGAAATTAGTTATTAAAACTATTATGTTTAGAAATGTGTTGAAAATATCTCTCAGTTAAACAAAATTGGGCAAAAAATAAATAAATAAACAGCGAGGCTAATAATTTAGGGGGGCTAATAATTCTGACTTCAACTGTATATTTGTATGTATATTTTTTTTAATAACGTTTGATTAGCATTATTATTAATATTATATATTTTTATTACTTGATCTACCTCTTATAGGGTTCCAGTTAAAATGTAGGCATCCCCAAATAGAGCTGTATGTTGTGTCATTTAATTTCATTTATTTGATAATTTTACACTCTTATCTTTAATTCATTATATTTATTATTTGTATTATGCTAAATCAGGCTCTACTTTGCACAACAAAATTCATTAAATGTACTCATTTTTTGAAAGTTAAGTGGTTGCAAACTATTTATATGGGCTGAATTTAAACAAATTTAAATGAGCAATGCTCAACTTAATTTGTTTGTTTAAATTCAGCCTATAAAATTTATTTGCAACCACTTACCCTATTTTTAGAGAGAGAGAGAGAGGTGTGAAAGTAAAAAAAAAGCTGAAAAATAACCCTAAAGAACATTCAGAATAGTATTTCCAATATCAGTGACATGCATAAATTGAATTGTTCTTTAAAAAAAAAAAAATTTTAAACATGGCATGGCCCCAAACTGGATCATGCAGTCAGAACAGCTTCTCCCCAACACACACCTTGACTACATGAAATAAACAATAGTGCATCTATAGGCAAAGGCCACTGACAACATTAATATTTGATCACAGTAATGTTGTACAATTATTATTTTGTTAAAGACTTTTCACGTTTTAAATGTTACTGTTACATTTTACTACGGTTAAAAACAAACAAACAAAAAACTAATTTATCAAAATTATGAGCACAATTTCTCCATTAAAACGGCAGTTTATTTAATTCTCCCTTTTTTAGCACTATCATTTTTACCATCCGCTTATGATGCTTTTGGGAAACTCAGACTAGTGTTTCATGTATTGATTTTTAGAAGGACTGAGATGGCAAAGCAAGAACGTGGTTTCACATTAACAACAAGTTCTAACACTTTAATAAAGTAGTCAAAACTTAGCACCAATAAGATACAGTTGGATCGTGTCCAATATAGTGAGTGATAAATAAAACATAGGCCTACCATTTGCTGCGACTTGTAGACCTCTTCCTCTTCCTCATTTTAGCTAAAGTGTAGCACTCATGCACTTTAGCTAAAATGAGGAAAGGTCCGAGCTGAAGTGATAGAGTGGGGGCGAGGCCTATTACAATCTTAATAAAAATAAATAAATAAATAAAAACGCAAAAACGATAGCATAACACCTTAACATCACTCAAACAACAACGCTGAAACAACACAATTCTTGAGATTTTATTGGAACAACTTAATTCTTTATGTTCAATCCACATAAATTTGTTAAAAATGTTAAGTTAAATTAATCGATTTGTGTTGGGTCAACATGAATGAATTATGTGGAACACTGCATTTTTTTTTACAGTGATCAACATTTTTTAAAAGAAAGATATGATTAAAATTGTAATAGCCTACTCTTTACTTACTTTTGATGAGTTTATATTTGAGTCATGTGTTTTCAGTGCTTTACAGTTTTTAAATATATATAATAATGGTTAATGCTATATATTAAATAAGTAAGCGGAATTTGCCACTAACCAGGATTAAAAAATTCTACTCTTTAAAAAATAAAAGACCAACACAGTTGGGTTACTTTTAAAATGTTTAAAAAAAATGTAAAATTGTAATTTAATTTTACTTAATTTAATTTAAATTTAACCAAAGTTTGTATTTGACCAAGTTAAAATCCCATTGTTGTGTAGTTTGTAAAATTGTATACTTGACCACAAATGAAAACTTGCTCACTCAAGTAATTTCAAATATTTATGATCTTTTTCTGTTGCACACAAAATATATATATATATATATATATATTGAGAAATTTTGGAAACCTGCTGCCTGTTACATCCAAAAATACGGTCAATTAATGGCTTTAAAATGTTTAAAATTCATAAAGCACAGGCTACTTTAATTTACATTGGCATGTGCTACTTTAATTTACATTGACTGACTGATGGAAAATAGAAATCATTATATATTTCTTAATCTAGCCAAATCTGTTGTATCAAATTTATTACAGAGATAAAAGATTCCAAATGTGGTCTAAATGACTAACTGGCCTATGGCTTTACATGTACACCATGTTTGATTCATTCAAAACTTTTAGAAAGAGAAATAAGAGTTCAGCATCTTACAGCAGGGAAATTGGTTAATAGAGCCTACTTCAATTGTAACAGTGTTATAACATCACAACATTAACCCTTGAAATATATTTAACTGAATGTAATAACTGGCATTTTTACCATTAAAACATTTAAGACGAATTTGTTTTGTCTTGCGTATTTGGCATCATTTGGCTATTCAACTTAAATACGCAAATATAGAACAACATGTTTTGAGTATTTTGTTTATTGAATAAATGACAAATTCAGTGTTAATGACATCATTTTAGTTTAGGTATTGTAGGATATTTAATGACAGCTGGAGCAAGTTTATCTTCTTGGTGTCATCTTACTTAATTAGGTATAGCCTAGGCTACATTTGTTGTATATTTTAGTGTTGTAATTTAAAAGTTAATGGACAATGTTTTAAAAGTAAAGCATCATGTCTTCAAACAGCAACATTTAATCAAATTGGTGTGAGAAATGATGAAAAGATTATTTGAGAACATGTCCCATACTTTCACATTTCATGTTTAATTAAGTGTAGGTTCTTTGTAATTCTCTTTTTTAATTTTACGAGAGAAAATTGTTTTAAAGTAGCCCACTTGTTTCCTTGTACCCCTTCAGAACTTTTTGAATGTAAAAATGACATGTTCAATTTGAACTAGGCTACCTTTAAAAAATCAGCAAGAACACTAGGCTACACTTTGAAGATTAAAAACTGGACAATAATGGACAATATAGTTTAGTGAAACTTTTATCGGTCAGTTGCCGCCTTTTTCTTCGGACTATCGGCCAAACACATCTGTCCGGTAATATGGGCGGTGGTCCAGTAGGTCTATTTAAAGCTCTGTCCAGCTCTGAAGCCACAAGATCGACACAATGGTTGTGTGGACAGCTGAGGAGCGCGCAGCGATTCAGAACATCTTTGCCAAACTCGACTTTGAGTCGGTGGGCCTCGAGACCTTGACAAGGTAATCTTCTCTCAAACTTCGTCAACACGTTTAATTATTCGGTTTGAGATGTTTTGAATATCTTGTGGATATTTGTACATACAGAAACTATAACGTCTCTTTACTGACAGTTCAATTATAAAATAAATTTTCCTAATCAATTAGCCTATCAAGTGGTTCTGTACGTATATTTATTTATTTATTCTGGGGAACACAAAAGAGGATATTGTGAAGAATGTTTCAAAACAGCAGTAGGCTACTGTGGAAGCCAACGGCTGTTGCATGATTTCTGACATTCATGACAATATCTTATTTTGTGTTCAGCAGAAGAAAGAAATCAATAAAAGAAACAAAAAAGGAAACAAGGAACAAGTTGAGGGACCTAGAACTGTCATTTTTGAGTGAACTTCTTTTAATGTCGTTGTCTTATTTGTCTTATTTCAAGATGCTTGGTCGTCTATCCGTGGACTCAGCGGTACTTTGGTGGGTTTGGAAACCTATACAACACAGAGGCAATCATGGCTAACCCAAAAGTCAAAGCGCACGGTGTTGTGGTCCTCAAGGGACTTGAAAAGGCTCTCAACAACATGGATAATATCAAGAGCACCTATGCTTCTCTCAGCGAGCTTCACTCAGAGAAACTACAAGTCGACCCAGGCAATTTCCGGGTGAGTAGCTATTCCTCTTTAAACATCATTTTTAAATTTCTATACACACTTCGAAATGTTGTGTTCACTAAAAAGTTCGTTGAGAAATCATGTTGGTTCCTCAATGACCTTTATTTTTTAACAGTTTATGTTGTATATTGTTGTGTTGGAACTGTGCTTAACTTTTCTTCTTCTTGTTTCAGCTGTTAGCGGACTGCCTGACCGTGGTGATCGCCACACGCATGAGGAGTGAGTTCACCCCGGACATCCAAGCTGCTTGGCAGAAGTTCCTGTCTGTTGTTGTGTCAGCCCTCAGAAGGCAATATCTTTAGATTCGCTTACTGAAAGAAGTGATTGTACCATTGTTTTATGCATTATGAAAAATAAACGATTAAAATGAATTGCGTTGTCTGAGTTGTCTCTGTTTAAAAACATTTAAAATCTTAATCTAACAATTAATATTTCAGAAGTGCCAATATTTACAAATAGTGACTTACAACATGGTTGGGAGTACCTAAGATGACTGTATTTTTTTTCTGATATATTCTAAAATAGCCTATAATTTCCCACGAACATGGTCAAGACTTTAAAAGACAAAAACTGATGCAAATTTCATGTTTAATTAATGCTGAAGATACAAAATTTTGTTTGGGCCTGTGACTGAACTGAAAAATCTATTAAGACCTGATGTTAAGATTAAAGTAGAACATAAACATACATAAACAACAGGTATCGTCTGTTGTGCGTATATTTGTTTGCTAATTATAATTTGTTTAGTAAAATATGGGATATAGGCTAATGGGCAAGTATATCTATAGAAACAATATGCCAGTAAAAAGGCTCTCTATTAAGTTTTAATTATCTTACACACACTCTTCAACAAGAAGAAACACTTGATTCACTTGCAAAGTATGTTGTAAACTAAATACACTGTACAGCAGAGGTGCCCAAACTCGATCCTGAAGTTGTAAAACAGTGTTGCTTTAGCTCATTTTAATCAAGTAATTTTGACAAGTTTTTTTTAAAGCTGCATGGCAAATACAAATACACTGTGCTATTGTACCGGTTTAATTTTTGCTTGTTAAAAAAAGCCAAAGCAGAAGCCAAATCAAATTAAAGAAAAATTTCAATTGAATACAAAGTTCTAATGATATATTTTCACTTTAACGTGTTGTCGGATAAAAAAAACCTATTCATCTTACCTAACGGGCTATTATATTATGCATTATTATAATGCGGTGGTGTCCAAATCCTGTTCCTACAGGGTGCCAAACTGTCCAGCGGAGTTTAGCTCTGCTAAGTCAAGCAGACTCATTACCTTTCAATGCAAGTGTGTTGGTGCTGGTTTAGTTAAACTCTAAAGTAGCAGCAGGTACATCTTTTTTTAGGTATGCAGAAAGTGACCCACGGGTAAAGAATCTGATGTTTAAAATTTCAGCACAACGGACAGCGCCATACTTCATATTGGACTGCGGCCAAGATTTCAGCACTCAAATCTGGACAGCTCCACACCCATAGCAAACATCACGCGTTTAAGATATTAATGATCATTTAAATTTACTCATTCAAGCAGAAGCTCTTTTGCAAAGCGACTTACAAGTATAAACGACGCACATAAAATCTTCAGAGATTATGAGTATTCTATTATAAGTATACAATATTAATATTATAAGTAGGCTATCAATACTGTATAGACTATTCTATGATAAGTTAAAGTTGCTTGATCTACAAGTCGAATTATTATTTTCCACAGCTATGGTGCACATGTTAATTACATTTAACAAAGCTGGCCTACTGAAATAATTGCATTATTCTGATTGTGTAACTGCAACAGCAGTTCTTTCTCAATCCTTATATGTAGTCCATAAACACTGTAAAATGCTTTAAAATTTATAATGATAATATAGCATTTTTTTTTTTACAAGAAATACTTATTTTTATACTTCAGAGTAATTGGAGCTTAATTCAGACTTAACTGTCAATTTTGTTGAGTAATGCAACATACAACACACAGTAAAATTATTCGTCATTCGCAATATGCGTCAAAAATAAAGTTAAAAGTGTATAGTTATTCACAAATTATTACAGTCTAATCAGATAACCTCAGAAGCGTAGGCTACGTGTGACTCTAATATTGTGGACGGATTAGGCTAAGTATTAGTTATTAGTGTGTATTTTAAAAGCAATATCATATTGAAAATAAAAGTTATTTTAGTTTCTTGAAAAATAGTATGACGGACAAAAATTAAACTGATATAACGGATTATCTGTATCTTAAAAGTATATCCATACAATATGGCGTATAAAAATATTTAAAACTAGGCTATTTATTTTAAGCATTTTAAATGCAGGTTCTCTTAAACAGAAAGAGATACCCCTATGCTACACAACACAGCAATCTCGTTTAAAAAGGGTATAGGCTTGGCTAATTTATTAATCAATAAATATATTAAACACAATAATCCCACAGAGGGCGCTAACGGATATACATTTTTTATTGAACATTTTGCAATCCATGCAGAAAGATAAAACAAAGACATGAGTATTTATCAGTTTATTTAATAAGCTAGCATATACATTGATAAAGATAATATCTGGCAGAACCATTCCGTCCTTCCTCTGAGGGCTCTTCATCGGAACTTCTCGGCTAGAACAGCTGAGAATGCCGACAGAAACTTGTCTATCGCCGCGTGCACCACTGGAGTGAAGTCGTCACCCATTCTGCAGGCTAACGTCACAAGGATGCAATGATTGAAAAGCTGGAGAGAAGAAAGTCTAGCGTCAGTGAGTTAATTAAAACCACCACCACAATAGAGCAACAACAAAGAATACGTAAGTGTACTGGACAATTTTATTGGACAGACATAAAGACCTTGAAGTTTGTAGGATGTATTCGCAGTTGGTAGGCATGGAACCTGCTAAGTGGTGCCAACGTTGTAGTAAGTGTGCTTATGTTCTTCGCACCCTCGGCCAGAGCCTCGACGATTTTCTTTCCGTGGGAGCGCAAATGCTCTGAATTAGCGCTGATATTTAGATGAGAGAAGTATGTCTTTGTTTTGGGGAACGTTGTGAACATCCTGTAAAGTCACATTAACAAGAGTGAAAACAAGGTTAAGAAGACATGTTAAAGCACGAGACCCCTGACAGGTGGGCTACTACAGTAAACTATCTCCTCCCTCTCTTTTGCCTACGTCATCCTCACTCATCCTGGGCATATGCCAAATATGACAACACCATCAACCATTGACTTTTGATATTCAGAAAAATTAACGGCGAGCTATCAAGGATAGGTAAGTCTGACTTAAAATAGCTTAATTCACATGGTTTAGCCTTATCAGTTGTAAAAACGCTTTGTTTATAGGAATAGCTGATTATTATCATGAGCTTAATTTGGTCTATGACAGCATACCTTAAAAGAGCTTCAGATCCAATTTCTTCCGCCACTGGAGTCATTTTGTCCCATATTTCTGCAATCAGCTCTTTTTCGGCACTCGAGAGCATTATTATGCAGTTAAATATTGCTAAAATATAGCTTATTGATCTACTACCAAACACAGCTGAATAAATAGGTTAAATTAAATTAGCTTCAGTTAAAAACACGCAAATAGATCGACGACTTGGCCGCATAATTAACCATAAACTCGATAAATAGTGCAAAAACAGAAGAGAGCGGTTAACCGAACTGTTGTCGTTCCCGTCGGTCGCTCTCTTCACCTCACCGGTCAATGAGTTCATCACGTGACTGTTAAAACTGCGCAACTTTAGCCTGTTCTGCGTCATACTACAGGAGTCTGGGTTATCATTCGGGGATTCCTACTTTTTGTGATTGATTTTTTAAAAAGACTAAGTATAGCTTGATAAAATGAAAACCAAACAAGTTTTTATCACCATAAAAAAAGATTTATAATTTAACTTCTGTTGCTTTTAAATCAACAGCTATGTTGGTCAAGCTCCAGTACATTTTATAAATGAACTTCAAGCAGACAATCCTAACCATAAATGTGCCCATTTATGATGTATTCATATACATCCACGTTGTATTATTTGAGAAATAATAATCATCTTTTTTATTTTTTCCATAGTTTGTCTCTCCCTCTCTCAGTGCTGAATTAATGATAATTGTTGAGTTGATTTTTTGTTTAGTATATGATTTTAGTATTGTTTAGATATTCTAATGAGTCATGAGACCATAATATTCAAAAGAAACTCCAGACACACCTAATCACTGTTACCCTGATTAAGGCAGTTGTTTGCCAAAACACGTAGGCACAGTTTTAAGGAATATCCATGTCAATAAAGGATTTTTATTTATTTTTTCCACATTTTTTTTTTTTGAGTGCCATGGACTGATTTTTGCTGTTTATTCTGATAAATGCCTTACTCAAAGAGCACAATACATTTTTAAGCTACCCACTTTTTGTTTGATTTTGGATTTTTTTCCTTACATAATATATATGTTTAAGTAGATTTTCAGAATTAAATTCTGTCTCTTTTTTAACAATGCAACCCAACATGAGATGTATTTTACAATGACTTTAGTATATTTTTTTTATGGAGCAAAAAGTGTTTGGTGGCCTTGACAAAAAATAATTTGATCCTGCCATTTAATCCTAATTTCTATGAAATCAATTTACTTGTTTTGCAGTTTAATAAAGGTTTAGATGGTTTTCTAATGTACAAGTTCTATCCTCTTAAATAATCTCTTTTTTTCTAAAAACATCCTTTGATATTTGAAGAATCTCTTTATTACTTTATTTTTATTGCAAAAAAGGTTTTCTATATGTATTTAACTTTTTAAAAATAGCGTAATTGTTTTATAATCAATTCACTTAAATTTGTAGACAAAAATAGGTTAACTTAATAAATTTGTGTTGGGACAACATGAAGGAATTGTGTGTAACCTAGCAAAATTTTAAACAGTGTACTCATTAAACATCCAAACAAACTTATGAAAATACAACAAAATTGAAAAGGTAAAAATGTTATCGTCTGCTTTATCTAGGCAATTTTATGCCAAGTTATGGTCCAAAATAAAAAATACAAATTAAAAAAATATATCTAAAATGAAAAAATACATATACAGCAAAGTAAGATTATAAACAAACACGAATGAAATTAAAGGACTCTCTTGTTTGCAGCTATGATGAGCATGTACTTCAGTGATAGGGATGGGTGCTGGCACTGGCTCTGATAAACCCTCCTATCAGTGACTCAAGCTGTGGTCTGTGAGAGGGTGTAAGCAGAAGAGCAGTGTAATCACCCGTGTCAGCATTGCCCTGCCCTCCTGCTGGCACACGTTACACATGACTCAGCTAAAACTCAACCATTGCCTTTATTTAATCCACTTCCTAATTAATGTGCTGTCTGATCAGGTCCATTCTTAGAGATTATGTGTGTTACCTACATATTGATTGGTTTATTGAATTAATTATTTGCTGTTGTTGTATTTTTAAATGATGTTTGTATTTTTTAATAGCGTATGATTGTAATATCGTCCTCAAGGGTCGACCTCAAGTGCGATAGCATTATCATCATGTTGTGTTAATTAAACACCAACTGGCAAAAGGGTAAGGCATTATTTTGATCCCATTTAGACATTTTGTTAATTATAATCAATTTTGGAACTATTTATGTTAACTAACTCGTCACATTTTACAATAAGCTTTTATTAGTTAATTTATTGCTGTTTAAAAAATATTTTTTAGTTGAATCAAGTGAACTTTTCTAGTCATCTCAACTTACTTCAGTCAATCTGACAACAGGTATTATTATATATAAGAATATATATAAGATTATACCTGACTAACCTATTGAAATACATAAGTTAAAGTAGCATAAAAACATTTGCTGTAATGACTTTTTCATATATTTAACATAAATTGAACTAATAAACAACACATTTTAGTTCAACATTGACCAATGCATTATTAAAATGTGAATTCATGTTTGTTAACATTAGTTAATGCACTGATGTGAGTTAACATGAACTAACGATGAACCACTGTATTGTCATTAACTAACATTTAAAAACGTTAATAAATACTGTAATAAATGTATTGTTCACCGTTCGTTCATGTTAGTAATCACATTAACGTATACAACCTTTTTGTAGTGTTACCTTAGTATCTATATATCAATTATTTTAATAACTATAATTAATTGTGTATGTTAATCAAGTCAGTGTATTCATCTATCCTCAAAGTCTGATTTTGCTGAATTAGCTGACATTTTGTTATAAATTTGCTTATACAGTCAATATGCTGTCTAAAGGATTAATGTTATTTATTTATTTATTTATTTATTTATTTATTTATTTATTTATTTATTTATTTATTTATTTATTTATTTATTTATTTATTTATTTATTTGTATTTTTGTCTTTATTTTATTTTAAATGTTATTTATTTTTATTTTTTATTTTTTATAATTCATTCACATTAAAATTAATGTTTTTATCATGTTAAAAGAAAAATAAATCTTGGCATTGCCTTTTTGCCTTGTTTGTGAACTATTTGCTTTATTATAAAAGTTTAAAAAGTAAATCAGTGACAAAAAACACATAAAAGTTGGTTTTGAATAAAATATAGAGAAAAAAAGTCATGCTTGCCTTTCCAAGACGAGTGACAGAAATGAAGATTTTACAACAAGCATGTTTATGCAAAAAACAGGCAAGCTGGAAATGATGAGGCTGACAGAAAAACAGAAAAGTATAATTTAGAAAACAGCTCTGCAGATGTTTTGCTTTGACACTGTCCTCTGTATAACCCTGTGTCCTTAAAAGACATTTTCAAATGAAAGTCTAATCATCTTAAAAAACATGAAATAAAACTTTATTTAAAATATGTATGAACATTTTAAGAATATAACGAGTTATGTGAATATTTCTAAAATATATTATAAAATATATTAAACATATATTATTATATTTGAAGAGTTTTTATTTTATTTTATTTTGTTTTAATATAAAAAACACATTTTATATACCATGTTGCAGTTGTTTTTACATATTTGGTAGAATTATTAGACTTTAAATTATTAAGTATTTTTATTAATCACATTTAAACATAAAAAAAATTCACAAATGTTATAAATTATTTTGAATCTTTTTTCATTAAACAATTCTGATATAAAATGTGTCACTACAACTGTTTTGAACACTGATATTTAGAATAACTATTTAATAAGCACCAAATCAGCATATTTAATGACTCCTGAAAGATCACGGGACACAGACGACTGGAATGTTGACTGATAGAAATTCAGCTTTGCCATCACATCATATTATTTCTAATATATTAAAACAGAATCTGTCACTTTAAATTATCATAATATTCACACGGGGCAGCACAGTGGCGCAGTGGGTTGTGCTCTCGCCTCACTGCAAGAAGGTCGTCAGCTCGAGCCTCGGCTGGGTCAGTTGGCATTTCTATGTGGAGTTTGCATGTTCTCCCCATGTTCGTGTGGGTGCTCCGGTTTCCCCCACAAGTCCAATGCGGCACAGGTGAATCGTCAGTAGTTTATGTGTGTGAATGAGAGTGTATGGGTGTTTCACAGTGATGGGTTACAGCTGGAAGAGCATCCGCTGCATAAAACATATGCTGGACAAGTTGGCAGTTCATTCTGCTGTGGCGACCCCAGATTAATAAAGGGACTAAGCTGACAAGAAAATGAATGAATGAATGAATGAATGAATGAACGAACGAACGAACGAATATTCACACATCAGTATCACAATATTTCAGTTTTCACTGCATTTTTAATGCTGGTAAGCATTGACTAAAAACATTTTACAAACAATAAACTTTTGTATGGCAGGGTAATTGTTTATAAAAGATCACTTTTACAGTTTTTCACATTTGCTTTGTCACATTTTTTGAAACAGTCTAAACATTCCCTAAACTGTGAGTGCAAATCTCTAAACTGTTTGCTGGAATTTCAGAACTTTATTGCATGTCTGCAATATGTAGTTACTCCCCCAAAACATTTAATTCATGCATCAAAACCTAGTTTCTGTGTCAGTAATTTGGCCAAGGCCACCAAAACATAAAGTGTAATTGTCATAATGTGAGCCACACTATATAAAAATATAAAAAATATATATGAACATTTGTATTTATACAGTAAACTACTTTGTGTACAAATGTATTACAGTTTTTCTCAGTGGCTTTGGTGCATTTCTCACAACACAATTTACATTTGCAAAACAGTTAATGCATTTCTCAAAACAATTTGTACAAACTGCAAAATATAGCTGATAACCTGCAAAATTGTGTCACTTGCTCAAAATGGATAGCTCAATCCTCAAAAGTAAATATTGATGTCAATAAAAGTTTCTGTGTCATCAAGATGAAAAGTCCTGACACCATTGTTTATGACGATAGCCAAATGGCTTTGTCATGTTCTCAGTATGACAGTTTAGTCTGTACATTTTTTTCCAATGCAAAAAAGTTAGATATTGGTGACACTTTCTGAAAATGCTCAAGACAGCACTATATATAATTTGCACAGCCATGTGAAAATTCACAGCATTGTGCAAAATAATAAATACACCCTTATTTACAACAAACATAAACTCCCTTAGGGTGGAGCTGTGCACAACAGTAAACAGTATTGCAGTACATACTGGAGCTGAACCATAACATACACATGTCTGTAAAACATTCATGAAATTGTTCAATTTAGAAGACATTTTCATGAATTTTTTTCATATTTAAATTTAGCTTGACA